ATGGCAAATTTACAAAAAGTTTAATAGAAATGTGTAGAAAATATACTTCATCAGCTAGATCAACCAATTTGCATTTAATGACTTATACGATGAACTAATGACTAAATGTTTTGAGTTGTATAGTATGAGGCAAGTATACATGTAGCTAAGTCTTTCTCTAAAACCTTTGGAAATCAAAATAGGCCTATAAGATTTTATTTTCCACAGTAAAGAACTGTACACAAAAAATCCTGGTATATTAAATTTCAGCATTATGGTAGATTTTTAGCAATGATTGACCCTTATGTGTGTCAATGTGTGCCAAATGTAACCCATAAAAGCATTTTACCAAAACAGTGTAGTGTCACACTATTCCGTTTTCTGTGTGAGTGTTAGTCACTGATCATTCATTTCTTCATGCAATATCAATAAAGAAACTTTGATCCAATAGAATCTATAACAGAACAATATGGAAAAGAGGAACTGGGCAAAATAACTGGGCAAAACCAATTCTCTTGTATTATCATTAGTAACTGGTAGTACAAATGGTAACTATTTCTTTAAGGAAGGGAAGTTTAAATATTTGTAGTCCAAAGTCTGTCAGACAGTTCAATAAATGTTGTTAGGTTTTTGTGAGACTACGAAAGTGATCACAATCTAATAATCACAGAGAGCAGCAATGATGAAGATGGAAATGGGCATTTTATTGCCGTGTGTGTGGACCACACTGGCACAGGATTTAATATCACCAACAATAGACATCCTTGCCGAACTCAAAAAGATTAAGACCATGGAGGAAAAGTTAAATGCTCTAAATGATGAAGTCAGGGAACTAAGAAGCAAGAATGAAGGTACTGTATTTTTTTATTTTATTTTCTAAACTGTCTGACCACTGGAGAGACCAGTTGTTTCTTAAAGCTGATATAAAAAGTGTTTTTTCTTTTTCTTTTTTCGCCCCCAGTGTAGCTCTGACTACAAACATGACATTTAGGAAACATGCAAGGAAACTACATGAATAGCAATGATTGCATGAAAAGACACATTAAAGTTTCTTCTTTTCACTTGCACATTTTCATCTCATCTCTTTTTTTGCAGAAAGGGCAAAAGTAGCCTTTTCAGCCTCACTGTCATCTTCAGCGGGCGTCAAATATTTTGGGCCATATGCAGAAGCAATCACTCTTGTGTACGAAAATGTATTAACTAACATTGGAAATGCTTATGACACCAATACAGGTACCATCACATTGGTCAAAGAAGTTTCAAACATGATGCTTCAACAATTTTATCATAATTTTAAGAACCTAAGTTTCTACTGTTATTAACAGGAGTCTTCACTGCACCAGTAAAAGGAGTTTATTTCTTCAACTTTGTGGTCTTCAATCCTCATGACATTTCAACCGGTGTTAAACTGTTAAAGAACGGCACTTTGGTGGTTGCAGCATCAGATAACCCTCCTGGGCAAGACACTGAAGACACTACATGCAACTCAGTTAGTCTTATTCTTGAACAAGGGGACCAGATACGTCTTCAGCTCATAGAGAACCGTCATATCTACACAGATGCACTGAGACGCAACACCTTCAGCGGACACCTACTTTTTACTATGTGAAGTTTCTGCCCATGTAAATTTCTAAAGGATGTTAGTCCAAATACAATGTTTTATTCAGATGTAAAAAAAATCAATGCTTGGCAAGAAAAAATACAAATAAAATCAATCAAAAGTGACAAAAATACAATAAAGTTTTAATATAGCCTACAAGAATCCTTAAAATTTGGTACCATTTTCATTTATATTAAAACCTGTAAATGAAATAATATAGCAGTTTGATGTGTAGACATTAACAATTCTTACGTCATAAATAAAATTCCATGCATGTTACATGATATTGCTAGTAAAGGCAAGTAAAAGAAACATTAGGACACTACTGAAAAGCTAAAAATGAATCTCTCTTTACCATGATTGAACAGAACCGTGTTACTCAGTACCACCTACATGCTTTTAAAGGTCACATATTGTATACCTTTCTGGAGTTTTATTTTAGGT